CTCGTTTCTCCCATTACAACAGATTCTGACCCTCTGTCAACAAAATTTGTAACAACAAATGTTGAAAAAGTGTTGCGTTAGAAACACGTGCAAACATATTAAAGTCACTGACGGTGACAATACGGTGACACCATGAAAACGCGTGGAGACGGAAACCGATGTAAACACCGTTACATCGTTACATCATCGGCGATAGTGATCGTTGCATGTGAAAATACCGCTTAACGTCTCGGTGCTCCTGTTGTAACAGCGTGAAGAGACGAGAAACGAAGCGAGAAGGAGAACGACATCAAGCGACGTTCCGAACAAACGAAAGAGACGGTGAATATGTATCTTTGGCGAGGGCGGTGAGGAACGGCGGGGTTGGAGGGTTGCGTAAGGTCAAGGTTAAGGTAAGCCAGTCTTCCCTTCCTCTGTCATTCTCCATCTCGCTGGTTCCATGCTTCGTGTTCTGTGTCATGTACGCGAGTCAGTGTCAAGGGTCAGTGAACTTCCGATTCGGGCCGTCTCGCGCGTCATTTCGCGCCAATACTCAAACTTTCCTACCGATGACGAACAATATGTGTGATAACGTGGTATCCAATTTCCTCGAGTTCTCTCAGGAGATCCCATCACGCGGAGAATGGTGTTTCCGTGCATATTGTTGCCCGCTGCTGAATAGCGTCACGAAATAATGTCTCTGGGTCGCATTATCTCTTCATCGAATCATCTCAACGTCAATATTCAAACGAACAAATAACCTTGGAAGTTATTCGGGAGACTGATTAACACATTGCCAATTGGTGCATTAAAAAGTACGCCATGTGCGTACGCCATGAACTTTCTTAAGATTACTATTTATCTTTATAGTGGGATCAGTTGTGAGAACATGTTGGGAAAACAATACGGAATTAGTGTTCTTCAATTTGAATGGTCTTCATCTTCTTCAGAAACCTTTAAAAGAAGGTGCGATAAACAAGAAAGTAATTCACGCTATTAAAGTAGATGTACATTTACGTGTACAAGAATATAACTATTAAAATAAAAAAAAGAACATAACTATCATTTGTTTCTTAAAAAATATCAAATTTGGATAATGTAATGTAAAGAGTTGAAATTTTGAATACATGAATATATACACTTTGAAAGATATGAATCTCGTGGAATTAGATCAAAGTCTCTTAACTGTAAATATAGTTTCGAAAGAAACAGACGAAAATTATACTTAAGGAAACAGAATTTAATAATACTTTAGGAAGTCGATCAAAATTTTTCGTCATTGCAATGGCCAGCAGGATGGCTGAGTAAATAATTCAAACATGAAATAATATTAAGTATAGAACATGAACGTGCATATTGTTGCACAACGTTCTGTATAACATATAACAAAAACAAAAACTTGGAATAAGACTTTTTAAATACTGCTGTATAAAAATTTAGTTACACATATTCTGAAGTTGAATTTTCATGTCGACCGTGGGTCAGCCATCACCAAAAGGTCAAAGTGTTTCCACTTCTCTTGTTGGAAGGATAGATAATACCTCTCAAGAGATAATGACATTGGAAGAGATAAAAACTTGGCAAGAGATAGTAACTTGAAAGAAAACTGATTTGTGGTAACTTTGCAACTGTCAAGATTAATGTGTTATCTTCCTAAAAGAGAAAGAAAAAAAACTATTACACAGTATACAGGGTGATGCATCTTAAATAACTTTTAAACCAATTACTGTGGACAAAATTTTGTCGTACAAAAGTTGCATTGTTTCAAGGAGGACATACGACGCAACTCTTGAGACGTGGGAAGGATTCAATCTATGCAAAAAATATATGCATTTTCATTTTAAACAAGAATGCAAGTATCGACTCCACATCCACCATTGCGCTTATAAAAAAAATATGGACCTATAGATATAGTACTCTTTGAACTATTCATGTTTTCCCTCTGACATTTATCTCTAAAAGGACTGATAATGAAGTTACGACTTTTCACATTGGCTTGATTCACTCTGTATTAAATACTTCAACTGAATTCTAAAATCTGTAATTAAATCAGCTTCTATATTAAAAATGTGTGATTCACATCTACTGTTTTTTCACTAATTTTTCATGCAAGACATTTTATACAAACACTGAATAATATCTACACAAATTGATATTTATTTAAAATAAACACCATTAACAAGTAAAAATCACCGATATGTGGGCGACAGTGCTTTTCGCTAAAGCATTAAGAAAAATTTAATTCTGAAAGTCAAACGTCAAGGAAAATAAATTTGAACGAAATTCTTGAATTTTTATCAAGTTGCTACAATAAATACCACAATGAATGTTTAATTACGTAGTTTTCAATAGTCTGTAAACATTTTTAATTACAGTAGAAATTTTCAAGATTATTGGTATGGTAGTCCACGAGTTAAAACTACAGATTTCCATTTATGTCGCGTGGAACCATCTGTTGTTCTTTTCTATCAGAACCATGAAAGACAAATACAGAAAAGATATCGAGATGTTGTGCCTTGACCTATTTCTTCGTATAACTATTTCGGTCGAAGTTTGATGGCATCTTAACGATTTATTGGTATATATATTTTTTGTCGATGTGTGAATGCACAATTGCACACGCTGCTAATGAACTCAAAGCGATAAATTAAAAATATCGATATATCAAATGAAATACAAACACGTATTAAGTTGAGCAATTGGATCGTTGGTTAAACGCTACAGAAGCAATCACATATTTTTTTGAGCACTGTACAAATAACGGAGATTGCTACTGTATATTGTGCTTAAAATGTAAGTTTTCCGCGTTTGCAAGAAAGGTATCACCGATACAAATTACGGAAGCTTCAGCTGCAACATGTGTTTAATGTGTCAGACTGCTATTCATGGTCTAAGTAAAGGACATTGATGTAACTTGTGTTGCGTAATCGTTCGATATATGAGATTATCCAGTTAGATCTAACATTACACAAGCCTCGTATGTATGGAAAAACGAAGGAAAAGATCAGTGAAAGATTATGTTATACTATTCAAAATTAGGCTCTAAGATTAAAGATTAAGTGTAAGCTGTAAAGTAATTAAATATGGAACCATCAATTTATGCGAGATTAAAAGTTAACCCTGTATGGACTCGTGTCATTTTCAGATCACATGCTAATATATCGACATTTTACCAAATAATTTTAGTTTTTCACAAGTGAAGTATACGTGTTAATTATATAATGTCTCTGATAACCAGTAACAATATCGATGACGGTTGGCATCACCATCGACCTGAAGTATCAAAGTAAATGCCTTGCAAGTCGCTTAAAGAAGACAAAAGTTTGGTCCATAGAGGGTTAAGCATTGATGGAAGGCGTGTGATAGCGAATTATCATAATTGCAACATAAAACGAAAGAAACGATTAAAAGAAGATTATGTCAGTAAAGATTAAAACAGCCATTAAAGGTTGAGTTACAAAATTAAGAATTAACATTTTCATTTTAATTGTCAATTCCGTATACGTGAAAATATGAATTTGCATAAACATTCGTAGTCTAGTGATAACTCAAGTTTCTAAACACTTTGGAAGCATGCGCCAAGTATCTAGAATCAACGAAACACTGTGTACTTAATAATATTTTAACTACTTTGCCTAAAGTGTCATAATCAGCAAAATATTGCAGCAGATGCTTTAAAATTAAAAACAGAGTAAACGGTTTCATTTAATACTGTGTCACGGAATCCAACAAGTATGGATTACCTCCCAGACTTTTGAACGGTATTGTATATTCAACAATAAAACGTTATCTCTTTTCTATATGCACGAACAGTAATAGAAAACCTTTCACGATATTGTATACCTGTCATTCATATTGTGAAGTCAATAAGTCCTTAACAAAGCCTTTGGGGCCGTTTAAATTTTAAAGTATGATACGCCTATTTTCTGTCAACATGCGCGCACCCATCTGTCGATGAATGAAAAAAAAATGCTCTTTTCTATATCGTTTTCCACTAAATTTAGGAGAGTATGTATAATATGCTCAATAGATATTTGACTAACAAACTATAACGTATGAATTGCATTCTCGGACATTTAAATGAACATCTTAAGAAAGATATTGCGTAGTATCCCGTAGAAAGTATTCTAATTATTTTTATACGAATTCCTAACAAGTATGTTTATTCGTGATAAAAATTGTTATATCATTTTCGAATGTTTAAGGATTGAAAGTCAACCTTCTGTAGGATCTAATTGAATTGAAATTGATTGTTCACACTTTCTTCGCGATTAAATAAATTGTGATTCGTTTAAAAATTAGGTAAATTGAAAATTGTATTAAACGAGTTGAAAGGAACTTCAAGTTTCTCTCAAATACAAAAGAACCTAAATTCTAAAGTGTTACGTCACTAATAACTTTGTTAAGTCCACTAAATATCTATATGAAACATTTTACAACAAAGTGATAAAAATGAAGGATCCTTTTTGAAGCACTATGTCATGAATGATAAGAAATGATTGCTAAAGTTTCAGACGATATCATGAATCCTAAATGGAAGTTAGATAGTTACCCGGTGCCGGTACTGATTGCTTGGACGTCACTGTGCAAATCCATTATTTCTCGCCGCTCTTTTATTCCGTTAAAATTTGAGGAAATTCAAAAATATTAGTACTATATAGAATAAGATAAATGAGCAATCTCGTTTGTAAAATATGTATTGTTTACATTATTTTAATAATTATTTATAAAAAAAATGACAAAAAGAATAATTTTTAGTGATACCTACAACTTTTAAAACATTCTAAATTAAATAACAAAATTACTGTACCAACGTTCTCAAATGAACTCTTCTGGCTTTTAGAGACGCAAATTCGTCTATTATTTTTGATAAGTCAATATTTCTGATATTTCATGTTCAATAGAAATAAGTGCAAGACTACTTAGTTTTTCCTGGGACATCGTAGATCGGAGATAATTTTTAATTATCTTCTTTCGGCAGATGCTGCGGAAACCGACAGGGTTAAAAAAATTCTCAATGCAATAGTAAACTTTTGGAAACAAGGTAACAAGTCAGCATCTACAATCTTTTGTGAAACTTGAAAAGGATTGTTCGATAACGTCAAGAAAAATTTCCCGATACGACATTATCTCATGATGTAACTGAATACCATCAAAATCACTTTTTAACACATTATTTTCATTTGATTGGAATTTCACATCCAAATTCATACATGATTTCATTAAGGACTTTCGGCCGCCTCTCTAAATCCACAAGTAGATTCAATTTCAATTGAAAGCTCTAATTAAGCATGGAACTGAAAAACGTGCACCGGTAAGTAAATAAAGAAAGAAAATAGGTTTGTAGTATCATGGTAACGATATGATAATTCGTGACTTTAGTCAAATGTTTTCTTAAGGTCCTTTTAGACGGTCATATCTGTTCTCAGTTCAGTTTCAATTTCCATTATCGTTTCATTTCATTTCGGGAAACTAGATTCTTTTACACGATGCGTTCAGTTCTCACTGTTCCCAATCGTTTCAGTTCTTTGTAACCCGTTGAGTTGCGCGCAAAAATTCATTAATTAAAAGTGTTCAACATATACATTGTTCATTCCGGTTTAAAAGTGTACATTTGTGGTATCACAATTCATGGATGAAGTGACTGACTGTCTTATTGCGACAGCTTTAGTTTTGATTCTAAAGAAAAAGCTTGGACATAGCGACAGACCCATACGTACACCGTACAAAATTTTCAAGAAAACTGACGCGAGTCGTGACGATCTTGTTTTTACATATAGGATTTCTGACAAATGAAATGAAACAAATAGGTCTATTCATCCCGTCAGTTTTCAGTCTTCGTTTCAGTTTTCCTTTCACTGTTTACTTTTTAAACATAGGAAAAACTGACAGTTCGAGTGAAACTGAAACTGAACTGAGAACAGATATGACCGTCTAAAATGACCTTTACACGTGTGATATCCTCAAGAATACTACGCAAACATACGACTCCACTGCAGCACGTGCATTTCTTCTTTACTCAGCAAGTATAAATATATACCTATTTTCTTTTCATATGACGGTCCATCGTGATACTTTAGAACCCCCATTATCTAAACAGTATACATTTCTTCCTTAACGTTGCATTTTCTTTCTTAACGAAGCAGATACGCGCATAGAATATCCGACAACGATTTTATTACAAGAATTTTATATTTATACTGATTGTATTCAGAAAATGGACGAAGTTAGTGACAGTATCTGTGAAGATGTGTCTCCCAGAGATAGATAAAATTCACACCTGGACGCAAACTTTCTAATACTGAATAAAAGATAAACAACATAAAAATTGAAAGTATAAAATAAAATTGCGTTTTAGAAATCAATCAAACGTCGCTAATAAATCACTATACCGTATTTTTATTCCAACAGAATTTTGGATTTCAAAGAAATAATGTGACTTTGCATGTTTTGTTACTGACATGTTATATTAATATTTCGCGAATTATTTTCTCGATGGATCCAACGAGTCCTCGAATCAATCGTCACGCGATTATTGTTCAGTGTTTACCCTCCCCCCGTCCTTTGTTCTCTTCTTCGACAGTTATGTATCTTCTATCTTGTATTGATCTCAAGTGATTAACTATACATGCATAGTTATCGCACTAATACATACTTCTTACTTATTTCCATCTTCTTATCATAACTTTGTCTTACATGACTTCTACATTGTTTTTTAATACTGTTCGCAGAATCACTTAACTCTCATATCTGTGGGGACCTGCTAGTCTCCTTATAGCTCGGGTACCTCGGGATCGCTAAACCCGTACTGTAGCTGCATATGTATTCGCATTCTACAGCCCCTGAGGGTGACAGATACGGTTATTTAACATAATTTAATATAAAGGAAATAGAAATTATTTCATACTTTTAAGCAATTCAATCTAGAACTGGTGAGTATTCGTATCAATTAACTAGAAATTATTTCATACTTTTTAGTGCAGTTTTAATATTTTTTCGAAGTCGGTTATATTTTTTTCCAAAAATTATTTTATTTATCTGAAAATGTCCATACCCAAAGAACTACACACATTTCTGAGTGCATAATTTGAATATTGAAGATTCCACTGTTTTCGATTAATGTTACTATTCGTTTTTCAGTCACTGCAATAAAACTTACTTTACTACCGTTTAATATATCATGATCAGTATTGAATAATTTAATACTACGTTGAAATCAATTTATCGTTTATTTCACTTTCGAACACCATAACTTGTTCCTCCACTTTTTTCAGTGCAATTAAATTTAACGAGGAAGGAAACAAACTGTTTCTTGCAAGCACAGTGAACAAAATGTTTCGAACTGATGCAATATATCTAGTTTATTAAACACGATATCGATAGCTCTATCACACATTTCATTATCGTAGGCATGATTTCATAGTTCACTATAAAATAGCAATGTCACGCTATTCGTTGTGAATGGCAACATTTATGCGACTTTTACATCCACTAATTGTGAGATTAATATTTAGTTGTTTGACTAATCAGCCAACTGTAAAACTCGGAATGTACAGACGCATAATTATCAGTTAACAACCAGTTTCTTTCAACGTAATATCGTAGTCTTAGGATTAACTCCCTCTAGTGAGTAAAGAAAAAACAAAAAACTTATTCAACATCTTATTACACTCACTTAGAGCTAAAATAATATATGTTTATTCATAAAATAGTTTTCTTCGTAGTTTTCTTCATAGTCACTTTTCACTGTGACAGTTACACTGTGATTATTACAGATCTTTTACCAATATTAAAGATCTAAACGTAGAATTTTTCAATTTTTATTATTATATTATGGACTCTGGAAAGTTTCAATGAATATAATTTGGAGAAACACTTTATCGGTTGATATACAACAATAAAAATTCGGTTAATAGTTTGAAAACTGACAAATATCCTGCATTCGGCGATTAGCAAGATTAATAAAAGATTTCTGACACTGAATCAAAGCTGATTATTAGTCAGTTCTTTGAACTATACGTTTGCTACACAGCATTGGAAACCGCCAGATAAGATTTCGGCTGCATGGATCAGTGGTTGGTAACCTGCGACTCTGAAATGATATTATTACAGCTTTTAATCGGATTCAAAATATTTTACCCACATTCCTATTAAATCTTACACGGCTTAGATAAAGATATACTACGCACAACACTAAAATTATGATGGACCATCTTGTACTTTATTGCATCCAGTTTCCTACGGATGGATGGTGTTTTAATAATAATTCGAGACATTCCAAAATATTACTGTTTTTAAAATACTTTTTATATTTTTCTATTGAAAACATATCTTTACGAATAAAACAAGAAGTTTTTGTTTAAGTCTTTGAGCGCCAGAAGAAATTTTCATACGTATCCGAGAAATGTCAGACAATTTTAAGCAAACATGGATAACAAAAGAGATGTAAACAAAAATGAGCAGCGATATATCGCTCTTGGTGCTTTTTTCAGGTGTATGGTGGAGCGATATACCGCTCCTTGGCACTGAAATGGTTAAAAGGAGGTTCGTCTACGTTTAAAGAAAGGAAACAGAGAATCGTATGTCGAACGGTTATAGAGATGAAAATTTATCAGCAAGATATATCAGTTCAGCGAACATCGAAATAATATCAGTTTCATTCGGCTGATGTAAACGGCGCCTAAACATGACGTTATCCACTCTGTTAACGACAAGCCTATGAAATCTATTCCAAAGAAATATCCGGTCAAGGTACGATAACAAAAAAATACAGATATTGCTTTATGGACGAATGATGAATTGCTACTTATAGGCCAAACAGTAGAGCATTTTTGTGTAACAAAAATACTAACAACAAACCGATCGTGCAATTATATAAAAAGGGATGCGTAAATTAATAGGTATATGTTTTTCACTCCCAACTCTGTTCCGTTTTCTTGTTATAAACAATTTAATGCAAAAGAAAAATCGCGATTTTTGACGTTTTTTGCTTACAAATTTTAAACTGATGCAGCAATATCAATGCTCCAAGCAGACAAAATGTAGACGATAAAAATACCTACAGAATGAGACCTAGAACGTCTCGATTGGATAATGAGAAACGAAGAAAAATCGGGAAAACCGGAAAATTCAGCGTTTTTTTCAAAAATTCACAACTTTACCATTCTTTGAGTTGAAGCGTTCGTCTTTTGGGGATAAGTAGCGATTAATGTGTTCTTTATGTGTACAAAAAACAGAGATTGTCGGATAATTAGTTTTCTCACAATCGCGATCTGAATTTTTTAGTGCGCTGTTTTCCTACGAGCCTGTATGCGTTACCGTAAGACCGATTTTTATTTAAAAAAAAAGATTTGAATAATTGATGTCATGCACTACGAAACGTATATTCTGATTTTTCGATCAAATGTTTTTAAGTATAAGAAAAACCCTTCGAAAATTGATCATAAATGGCTGATCTTGGAGCATTAATATTACTGCATTGGTTTAAAATCTATAAGCAAAAAACGACAAAATTCACGATTTTTTTGTATTAAATTGTTTATAACAAGAAAACGGAAGAGAGTTGGGAGTGAAAAAAATATACCTATTAATCTACGCATCCCCTTTTATGTAATTGGACAATCGGTTTGCTGTTAGTGTTTTTGTCACAAAAACGCTGTTTTAATTCTCTACCGATTGCCCTATTATGGAAAAAACGGTGATTGTATGACTTTAATTTTCTCTTGTTTCAACCATTGGTTTAACAATATACAAATTTTTCGTATCGCTTAAACAATGTTTACTCAAAGCTGTTGAGTACATGCGAACCCCTTTTGTCACAATTTTTATTCAATAACGGTTTCCCAATATTATACAGATATTACAAACGAGGAAACCTTCATACTCAAAACGCTAGGTTAATAATGAATTAAAATAACTACTCAGTTTACTTGGAAAAAACCAAAGAGTAACTACTTTATCAAATTTATCTTGCACACTCACAAAAAGAAGAAGACAAGATTTAACAAGATTCAGGCCAAATAATAATATAATTCTATTTATAAGGAGTCACTGAAATTTTTGTTTGTTTTATTGGATGGATCTGAGCGGAAGTAAAGTTTGAGAAACACTATATTTATTAGACGATCTACTACAGTATGTACCAAATACCTCGTTTATATTTTGATAGTTTGGTAGACATTTCTATATTCTGCATAAAGTTTTAAATTTTGTTTATAAATGTTTCGTGAAATATTGAACTTGTGAAAGTAACACACCTCTATTCACTTTCTGTCAAGTATATTCGATCGTTTTAAATAATTTTCAAGTATTTCCTTTGCTTGGTTTTATGTAGCTAAATTATGTACATGTATGTAAACCGATTTAATGTTGTTCACAAACAAATTATATCTTAACATTTCGGTAGGAGATAAAATTAATTGTTATGTTTCATTAAGAAATACACGATTCTTCCTTGTTGAAGTGCAAAACATTATCCGAGATTTCTTTTCACTTTCAATGCTACTATAATATTAATATTATACACAAGCAAATTTATATTGCACAATTTATTATACACGATTAGATTGTAATTACGGTAGTAGCGATGATACTTGTGCTTCTCGAAACTCAGAAAGCAATAACATTTATATGTAGTAAGTCCGCAATGTTATTATTTGTAACGTTTTTCATCTGTGCATGTTCGAAATTTCTTTTTGCTGTTACATAATCCACTACAAGCATATAAAACTAGATCTCGGGTAATGGTACCAATCTACCAAGGTATCATCTCATACGATATTTTGGGATTCCCAGTATTATATTTCAAATGAAAATTAAAATGATGCAATGTCGATGAAATGTTAATGTACGCCCCAATAATGCAAGAGCTGGCTACTCGCACATCTTCCCAACGTCAATTCAGTAAAGTAATTTTTATCCTTAAACGATTAACTCGGCGTTGCGAAATATTAGGTGATAAATTTAATTTTTACCGTTTTTACATCGACAAAATTGATTTATTTCGACGGGAAGATGAACAAACGAAGAGCACAACATTTGCAATGACTCTAAAAAGATAGATACATATTTCGAGAATGTTGTGTAAGAATTTGAAAAAGAAATCTCTATAATTTCCAGAGTTACCTTATCGCGGTTCATTTTTAATTGAGTAGAAAATCTCTTTGGTATGGAGAAATCTAACATGTAAGAACAAAGTCACTTTCAACGGTGTCTAAACTAGTAGCTCTAATAACGAGCTACAAGAATTTAATTTACCACCTAATACTCGTTACTTGATCATTGCTGTCCATCTAGGGCCTAAGGGATTCTACTCGAAGCCAGGGAAGCGTTACATTTAGACAACCCAACGAGTATAAATACTGGTTATGTTAATCGCTTGTACTGTGCACGTTATATAAATCAAATGGAGATCATTTAACGAAGCATTACTGTTCGTCCTACTAGGAAGTTTTAGCGGTAACTGCTCTTTTCTTTTATTATTAAAACTACAGAGAGTCACCGCATGTCTATTCTATACTTCTAGATATTTTAAATTAAAAGGGAGAGAAGCAATTTAATTTATCGATATAATTAGTAAGTTGTTGCAATAACTGTTGGCAAAAATGTCAGCAAATGCATTGTTAATACTTGACTAACTTTAAAGAGAAGTTCAAAATAAATGTGTCGATCTACCAATATAATTACTACCATATTAGTACCATTGTTAATAATTGATTAATTTTAAAAAGAAGTTCAAAACACCTAAATATATTAAATTGATCGGCTTGGTAATTTTAATGTTAAATAATAGAAATTATATATTAATTCTAGTTATGTTACACTTGAAATAATTGTTCTTGAAAAAGCCATATATTCTATACTGAAACATTGACTAATAAATCGTCTTATATCGCAACGAGTTATTATTCTTTCTTACCACATAGACTCAAATTGCTTTGTTAACGAGGAAAATAATTACTACATATGAATTATCTAACCACGTAAGCATCACTTAATTGCAGAAATCTACGCGTACTCTCTACTCTTGTGTATCTCGTATTCAGCTGTGTCAGTGACATTGTATCAGGGTGTTTCACGATTACGTTGTTCTCGTCACAGTCGGATTTAACCTGATCGTAAACCATAACGAGACAGATCACATGTTTCTCTTTGTCAAAGATACAGTCACTAATGAAGAAATAATTCATGGCTAATACTGCTTTAAATGGTAGCATGTCGATCGAACAATCAATGGCGAAAGTCGCATGACGTTAAGAAGTCGTATGACTCGACACTTATCGTTAGAAAAAGTCCTTTCGTCATCACCGTTGCATCATTTCTCTCTCAAAAAGTGCGTCGTTATACTTAATCATATTACTATTTATTATATCATTACTTGATTCTTATTCGTTATTCCATTTTTATTCATTCAAGTGCTATCAAAAACATAGAAAACAGTTCTGTTTGTTCTGGAAATATACATCGTAATTTTGTCTTAACTTCATACAAGTTCAACCACTTAACTTTGCCTCCTCAAATAGCTCTTCAATGGACTATCGTACATGTATAAAATTTGTTCATGCAATAGTTGCGTGATATCAAAGGGACAACTGTACAAATAATCAATCGCTTTTACTTTGTTGGTTCACAGAGGTATCGGGGTCATCTTCGATTTCTTTTTAATTCCTTCAATTCCTTAAAAAAAGGTGTCTTACGAAAACGTGTCATATAGAATTAAAATATCTTACGAGTAGACTTTGAGACATAGTATTCCATATGGAACTCGTTAAGGCTACCGTTACCTATTAATTAAAATGGTCAACTTTGGACAAGTGCCGTAGTCATTGCGCTTTATAAATGAAACGAACGAGGGAATGGAAGTGTTTTCTACCACTCTAGGCATTTTCCAATAACTTGCATACAAAAAATAAAAGGTACTATGACGATCACCACGAATGACTTTTGTTCACTTATTGTTAGATTGACTATTTGTCATGAAGGCTTTCTATTTAGCCAAACGAATGGCTGTTTCGAGCATATCCTGCAAAAGCAAGCTACTCCACATTCTTGGACCACAACAATGTCTATAACTCAAGAAAGAATCAAATAGTGTAGAGTAAACATAACGGTCCATAATACTTGACTTATAAGATTTCTGTGTGAAATGAATTGTAATAATTACCAAATGTACTTTGAAACGTACCTGAAATACTCTCAAAATAAAAAAAAACAACTATACATAAACTTTTCTGATTAAAAAAAAAACACTCCAAGAAACTCTTAATCCTTGGCCTCATAATGTGATTTCCTCCCTTCCATATGTTTTCCATAGTCTCTTTTTACAATATTCATTAATTTCTTTCTTTACAATGCTTTGCATTCTCTTCATTCTCTGATATCCTCATTAGATATGATAATAGTTTGTTGGGGTTCACTGGTCCCCTATAGCCCTCGTGTACCTCGGGATTGCTAAACACGTACTGTAGCTACAATCAAACATAGCTACAACCCCTGAGAGCCACACTAGCCTAAAGTACGGACAAATCAGCGACAAACTAAGTGCAAAGTCGATAAATTCAAAACAAATGTCATAAACAAGAACTTTGATAGCGTTCGTAAGAACGTCGCAAAGTTAATTACGGCCAACAATATCATAATTATATGAGTGAAAACATTATATAAAACTTGAAAGAAATTATAAATATTGAATGAAAGAAATTAAATTATTTTTGTTTGTACACAAAATTTACCTAGGATTACATTTATGTAATCGTATAGAACATTTATGCTGTATCGACTTTCAGCAGAAAATTTATGCATAAAAAGATATAAGACATAAGTTAGAAAATTGATAGTTGCTACGATATTTTGTTCCGCTACTGTACGTCAACCGATAGGAAGAATGGATACGTACAATGACATGTAATGCGTCATCTCAGTGAAAAAAAAGAAACTGACTAATTCAGGAATGAGGAACCTGCTGCCTAAAAGCTACACGCAGTCTTTTCAGGTGTTCGTTGCAACATTCTGCATCTAGATCTACCGAAACCATCTACAGATTATATGTTTATAATAGGGCCAGAACTACTGAAATATTTTATTACATTTCTTACAAATAAACTTGTAAATTTGAGAATTCTAATATTTGTTATTCAAATAACTATCGAAATGAAACTATCGTATACTAGACTGAGACTACTTCTATTTAAATTTTCCGAATAACCAAATGCTTGATCTGTTCGAAAAATATTTGAATAGTCAAGTATCGAAAGTTATGTATTGAAATAGCGTTTGACCAATAGATATAGGAAGACTACTGTCACATCTTCGTCAAACATTGTTGAAGCGAAAACAATTTAAAATACAAACTGTTTACCAATCGATATGTACCTAATATGCAAAAATTAAATACAATCCATAGATACTATAAGTTTCTTCCGGACAGGAGACTCCGTAAACTTATCATGTTTTTCTTCACGTAGTATTCACTAAACTTTATTTACTACGATATGTTTTTTATATCGCTATTCAGGTTGCATGGTTAAATATCTCACAAGAGGATGAAGCTATCAAAAAAATGTTTTATCTGGTACAAAAGAGGACATTATAGAGAGTAAATCATTTTTATATTATTTTTTCTATCATCGCGATTGGAAGAGATATTCAGCTGACCTGGTTTAGGCGGACCACCCTGTACGATAGAACGTACTGCATATCTCCAGTCTCGCCCGCGCTCTCGTATAAACAATATCATACGATCATCAACAAGAGCTAATCTAGAATTGGTCACAAGATACTCTCAAACCGAATTCTGAGAAAAAGCTAGTGCGACGACCAACCTGAACCATGAGTCAAAACAGGTCCAACAAGAATGAAGAACATTATTAATAATGTGACTTCGTGTTCGTATTCATATTAGGTTGTTCCAGCAGTTTTTTTCGCGCCTTGCACTCAGCTGTTTTGTGTGACAGTGTTTATATAGATAGATAATGTTATCTTGTAGAAGTTGATATTATAACGGTAATAGAGCAAAAAAATGGATCGTACATAACATTGTGATGTAACATGATGTAAGTATTACTTACAAATAAAAGAAAAGAAGTTTTGAGGACGATCTAACTTCGGTGCGATCCTCATAAGCAACAAATAAAGAGAACTTAGCGCGTAGACAATGACCATGCTTTGCGGACTGAAAGTGTGATGCACAACAGAATACATAAAATGAAAGTTTCCAATCCAAAAAAAACTCTTTCATATCTAATTATTAGCTACATTAATTTATTGTTCGTTCAATTGTTTCTTCGTTTTAGTAAAATCATGGAAAATGTTGAGATTCGAGTACTTTTACATCACTACTGGAAACAAGAGTTTAAAGCTACTGAATATAATATTTTCTTTGCTGGTTCAGTAGCTTTAAACTCTTGCTTCCAGTAGTAACGTAAAAGTACTCGAATTTCAAAATTTTCCATGATAAACGAGCAATAAATGAATGTAGCTAATAATTAAATATGAAAAAGCTTTTCAAAGGCCACAAAATGACATATAACACTTGTATATAAAGTAATTTTAATGACTTCAAAAACTTGCACAAACTGAAACAACGTAAAAATCGCACGAACTATTGGTTCACCCTGATATTATAATGTAAATTACACAGAAAGAGGAACAACTGTTTTGGATTAAGGAACAAAATAAGAACAGTTAGAAAACTTACTTTTCCCATTAAAAAAGCAAAACGCCGAAACACGTTTCAAGTGTTCAAATCTATACCTACTGATAGGTTTAGATACGAAAACTCAGGTCCTCTTTCCCTTCGACGCCCTATCCCTATCGCTAATCATCTTTAAGTTATTTAACTTGTTTCTATTGAGCCACGTTTCAATTGACCCCAGTCTCCCCTACGCGTTCAAAAACTGCCAAGAAGAAAGCTACGAAATGCATCGGCTCTTATCTCGCAGTGACGCTTTATTGACGAGCTCAGCTTACCACGAAAAGTTGGCGAAGATACTCTGACAGCTATTTTTCATTCACTCACAAATTCGTTCACTCGGCCAATCCTTACGAACGTCAGAGTCTCTTTTTTCATTGAAATGCACAACGGTGAAATTTGCATTGAAAAAATCTTTATCGGTTCGCTATTTCATACCGCTGATCGTTTCTCTCCGCTTTCTTCAACGGTCCATACAATTACACATATGTACACTGTGCCAATCCATCGTCACACGAATAGTTCTTGCAACCCCACTCGAATGGTATCGAATCGTGGAGGGAGCTCTCACAACATAGTATAAAAGTCTGACTGATATGCAACATCTGCTCAGTAGAAATTCTGTTCTTTCGAGGGTAACGCACAAAGCGTGTTTACCGCGATTTGATAATAATCGAAGACCTCCGAACGGAGATCCAAAGTTCATCGGCACGGCTATCCATATAATACAGTTCAAAAATTGTTCGATTCGAGGGAATTGAAAACCAGCGATCTCTCGGTATTGAAAGGAACTAAAGCGTCGAATCGGAGGTAACGGTTGGATACTCTTAATTCGATTAAGATAGTGGGTTCGTATGGGAGATTACGAATTCGCATGACCGCGCTATCAGTGGAAGTATCGCGTGATTAAAAAACTCGTGTGCGTTGCGTTATATTGCTCATGTTTTATATAACTATTTCTGATCCGTTTATTAAACCGTGCAGTGTTATTTATACAACGCGAATAGCGTTTGTAAAAAGAGTACAACAATGAAAGTATGATGGAATTTATAACTAATAATTCGTACTAAACAATTTTCGACCAGAACATTTTATTCAATTGTTATATTAACACATTGCATACCGGTTAAATCTCAGTTGTCGAACGCCTCAGCGCCGATACATATGTTGCCTATCTACGAGGATTAGATATTTAAAATAAAATGTTTTAAAGCAATGTAGTTTTACCATATAGTGGCAGATAAAATCAATAAAATCAAATGATTTTTAATTTATCGTTAAAATTGCAAATTTTATTTTATTTGGGATTTTTATTATATGTATTGTAATTTTGAATAAAAAAAATAATAACATTTCATAGTTTTCGCAAATAACGTCAAATATTTGTCGGAGCACTATGCAAAATGCTCTTGTATGTTTGTTGTTTATGGTCAGAGATCGCTATTATTTTCTTCAATTTCTACATCAGCATTTTCTCAGTGTATCGAGTAATCCGATAAACTGTCAGGAATATAGTTATGTACTAGTACAAACATTCATTTTGAAGCATTATAAAAGAATTCTGATGAAATGTATACTTTTGTATTGAAAACACAAAGCATACACGAAAATGATTCTAATAGAATTGTTAGAATAACAATTTTATATTTTGGTGAAAATGGAAATAGTTACTTTTAGTGATAAACTCGTTTCTGGTGAATGTTTTGTTTGATTACTTATCAAAAGGAATTGCAGAAATAATAAAATCACGTCAAGTATTCCTTTGCGCTGAAACACAAATCAATTTGAGAAATCCTTTGTCATGCATATTTAAACGTGTTTAAACATTCATATTCATATTGAACGCAACAAATTTTACTAAAGTTAATTTGATAAAAATGAATCTCTTGTATGCATGGTGTAACTGTACGAATAATTAAGAAGCTGATATATCAGCTCCAAGGTATTGAGCGGATTAATATATAGAAATATTGTAAATGGTGAAAAGACACAGACAACTTTTTATTAACTTTATCTTTGAAATTATCATGAAATCGGTATTTCCTTCGATTCGATTCCTTCTAAACGTTTGCAACAAACCAGTGTTTACATTAAAAACGAATTTTTTGCAGTTACAAAGATTACGTGGACGGAGACGTCGAAGCGCGAAAGTGAAAAACAGCTCGAAGCCACGCGAGTCGAATCAAATTCCGCGCCGATCGCCGACTCCCGGGTAACTGCGCATCACGTGACACGAGATTAACCGAACGGAGCGACGAGGTTCTGTGGTTATAAATAGCGGCCACCAGGGAGCGGGGAGTCTCTTTTACTTTCAACACTGTTCCATAGTACATTAGCTTCGCGCTCTTTCGACTATTACGTTTTGTGCTGTGCTGGTGTTAGATTCGCTCGTGCGGAACCAAAGTAGGGTGTAGAGATCAGACTCGTATCTCGCTTGTTTCCGCTGATCTTTAACAACACCAAACGCGTCGAACGTTCGAAGGAAGTCGCGGCACGTGGCCAGAGCATCGGAGCGCAGCAGACGAGAACAAAAGCCCCTAGCGACGACCACGAAAAGGAGGAAAATGCCGGAGACCGCTCACCACATGAACGGATACGCGAACGGGCACACGCCGCCCGAGCTGCAACAGGACACCAGTTTTTTGTTTACTTCGGAGTCCGTTGGCGAAGGCCATCCAGGTAGGTACCTCGAAAAGTATGCGTTCGTCTCATAACTGGCTCGTATTTCAGCTGATCTCGCGCGACTTCTTTCCAAGTTTCCATGCGCGGTGAGTCGCGTGTGCCGCCATGAAACTCGATGAACATGGCCACATTATATGTGTATATATATATATATATATATATGCAGGACTGAATAAGACTTCGTGGACCCCTGGGGCTACGGGCCATGGTGAGGTCCCTGGCCATATTTTCAAAATGAGAAGAAAAGATAGAGAAAAATTCAATTTATTTATTGTAACTCTAGTAACAATTAATTTCTTTGTGCTCGCGATATCGTTTTCGATACAAACTAGGTACAATTTATATTGTTCACTTTCAATGATTATTCTGTAAACTTTATGTATTATTTGTAAATATGTTCATTACGATAAGTCGCGATTAAACAAAATGATATTTAGACGTTAGGACAAGTATTGCATCTGAATGTGAATACGAAGAGATTAAAGAAATATTTAATTTATTTTTTCAAAAACAATAGTAATAAAAATGTTTAAAATAGCACGGGTTACTGTAGCCCCCTAAAACGCGCACCTTAACTCGGCCCTGCATATACATATACCGCGTGCGCACACCACAAATCTACTACCCTTCCTTCGTGCTTTCATACTTTTCTTAAAAACTCCGAATTCTAGAAATGGTGTTATGTTGCACCCCGTTTAATTTTTTAGATCGTTTTTTCGATATAATTAAAAAAATGAATATCGATGTATCAAATCCCGATTAACCTTTTTGCGATCACATTGCCTCGAGCTAATATCGAAATAACCCGAGCGCCTCCGGCGTCGCCATGTGCTCCTCCTTGATAATGAAATCTGGTCTACGATATTCTATGAATTCAATTTCCCTTTTATATCATTCCTCACAAATTTCGTTCAATATATGCATCGATTAGACAATTGTTTAAATATTCACGTAAAATTTATATACACTTAATTGGATCTGCTCATTGCATCATTTAACAGTCGTCTTCACGGCATTGGCAAACTGAATTTAGATGATCTTTTCTCTTATTCATGAATTTTTCCTCGAATTTATACCCTTTTTCAACTACAACTGTCCATTCGCTGACATAACTTACAATAAAAAATTGATTTCTGTATTGACAAGATGATTTCATGCATCATTTCTTTATATTACACCCCCGATTTATTTACCTTAATGAATATTTAAACGTTTATATTAATTAAAAATATAGCTTATATCATTATCAGCTTATTTGAACATTAAAAGGTTTTATATTGTTACAATTGTAATTACATACTGACATTTTTCTTTAGATAAAATGTGCGATCAAATAAGTGATGCTATTTTAGATGCACACTTAAAACAAGATCCTGATGCAAAAGTGGCTTGTGGTAAGTTCTCTTGGAATATTCTTAATTTTTCAATGATTCCAATCTGTTCATGTTATAACTGCTATTTATAAGCTAGTTGGTTTAACCTTGAGTTAATTTTGAAACACAGAAATCTAAAGAGATCTAGTACTTAATACAATACTTACAATTGTGTCTGTATTTAAGTTGATGCTTTGAATTATATTAAATAGGAGAAAAGTTCTAACAGAAACGAATGTATCATCTTCATTAAATGCTTTCACTAGTCCTTTGCAATAACAGTAATAATCTAATTATCTTTCTCAATAGTAACAAAATTAATTGATATTTCCTAAATGGTTTATACAGGAAATTGAGTTGATACTGATTAATATTTGTAAGTGACACTGTAGGAATACGAAACTAACGAGAAATTGAAAATAATTTGCTTTTATAAGCTGCAGTACACAATCCAGCATACTACATAACTTTTTTAATATAACTATAGCTATAAAACTTCCTATTAAGTATGTATATAAATTCATATGTGCACATAAAATCAAGATTATACACACACTACAACGTGATGTATCCTATCATAGTCACATTTAATTCAATTATTTAGTTATGAAGATTAAAAAGTAAGAAGAGTAAAAACTATAAATACCAAATGTAACATTCGTGACAAGTGTTTGCAATAAAGTATCGAACCAGTGCATCTGAAAATGAACATTTTTCTAAGAGTATTCACATTGGTAAACATTTAATTATAACTTTAGTAAATTGCATCATATTAATATTTATTTATATTACATGTAGCAATTCCACCTCTTGTTTTAATTAAATGTGATTTTTTTATTGGTTGTTCCTTATTTAAAAATTTTAAAAAAGAAGTAATGTAATTATGAAATCCATGAAAAATTAAATTGGAGCAGATTAAATATTATGTAGAGTACCTTCTTTTCAACATTCCAGTTTATATCCTTGTTCAACTAACTGAATTGAATTTGTCTAAACAAATGCTATTATATTTGTACAGATAAAAATATATAAGGTTCCATTTAAAAAAATGTATTTATTTTTCAAATGTTCCCTATTACTTTACTTAAAACAAAGTTGTTTATACCATACAATTTGTCCATTTAAACCAAATAACTTTTGTAAAAACATTTTTTTAATAGTTTCATTTTCTCATGAAATATTAACCATTCTGATTTCTTTAAAGCACCCTGTATATGTAAGATTATATACATATAAAGATATACATATAATATGTAAGGATACATACTATATTATGTATATATGCAGTTCTCTATTTTCTTTTTTTTTTTTTAATTTTTTTTTTTAAATGCGGAATTTAGCTTTTTACTCAAAAGGTTGTCGATCCCTGGATTCTATTCTTGGATGTTCCCTATATACAGGGTATGGATATCCAAGTAAAACTTGCTGTTACCCAAATGCAGGATACAGGACTGTGAACGTGTTAATATAAATTTTGGTACTGCCTAAAAAGTTAAATCAAAACACCACTATAACTCAACAAAATAGGATATTCCTATAATATGATAACATCAACATAAATACCGACATCAGTGTGTATAGTAAACTGTTATTTCTGTTGTTTAATGTCTATGTTAATTTCTAGACTTAGTTTTTTTTATATATTCTACTTTTTTATAATTCAGAGACTGTGACAAAAACGGGAATGGTACTGCTGTGTGGAGAAATAACATCAAAAGCTGTGGTCGATTATCAAAAAATTGTTCGGGACACTGTTAAACATATTGGCTATGATGATTCCTCGAAAGGTAAAAATACTTCCATTTATATATCCTGTCTCTCTTCTTTTCAGTGATGTATGTTTGCTAAACCCTTTGGCATCCTTAAAATTTTGTTGAATTTATTTTATCTTATACATCTAAAACATTTAAAAATTTTCCCTGCTAACATATGGAGTTTCCACATTCCATATGACATACACATGCCCTGTGGCCGGATGAAAAATTTATTAGCTTATCCTTCGTTAAAATTCGCCTCATTTGGTTCTCCAGAATCTGATTTTACAAATACACGGTCGAATCATGGCACGAAAGCTTCCAGCACTATGTATGAATTTTAAGATGCTTCCCACATATTTGTCTTATTATATGTCGTGAAAACAAAGTGTGTATTTGTATATTGAAAGGATGTGCTTTACGCTACATACACGTTAGTAAAATGTTGGACTTGAGAAAATTCCATGACTCGATCGATTGGATAACTAATATCCTGCTCATTATCTTTTGGAAGCAATACGCAAAAAAAAATACGTATGAATATGTAACGTAAGCATATCGTGATCGTGGCAGGATTCGATTGGCGTACGTTGAACCTTTTGGTGGCGATCGAACAACAATCTCCAAATATCGCTGATGGTGTTCATGTGGACAGGGAAGAGAAGGACGTGGGTGCAGGTGATCAGGTACATAACCCATTCTCAGCCCGTGCCGCAGAGCAGCCATATAATTCAATAACATTCTTTCTTTTTTGCTTTACCATTTCCTTTTCTTCTTACAATATATTTTATAGTGTTTTTTTATAACATACACTTCCCTTCTGTTAAGTGTGAATGTGTGAAACTGTATGTGAGCGAATGTTATATGGAATTGCTATAAATATCTACTCTATATTTTCTAAATATAAGAAGACTTGGTTTATCAGGGAATTTAATATATGAATGATTTCAACCACGATATTGCATTTCCACAACTTTCCGGAAAACTCATCATTAAACGACCATGGCAGTCATATTTATTTATCAGTTACGGAAAAGTTATCCGACACAAATACATCTTTTTTAAGTAGGCTCTTGGTGTTTTATAGTATATCGTGGAAATACATTTTCAATGGTGTTGTCATAGAAAATGATTGGCCAGAAATTGTTTTCAATTTTTATTTTAAGTAATGGATTATTATATTCTATCAAACTTGCAAGGTTTAATACTTAGGATCGGTATTATCCAAGAAAGCACGATACACTGGAATGTGTACTGTCTGAAATGCCAATTCGATGAGACAGTGTTAATATTCATGATAGTGGACATTTTTATCTCACTCATATAATTTCTACAGGTTTTGACTACAAACTCTGCAGCGTTCTGTTGGCGCTTGATGCTCAGTCCCCAAATATTGCAGCAGGAGTTCATGAAAACCGTAGTGATGAAGAAGTGGGCGCAGGAGACCAGGTCAATTAGCATTGATCGTTCATTTGAACTTTCTGTTCTTCTTTCTGTTATATATCTATGCTATTAGTTATCCTTTCTTAGCTTTCTAAATAACATATAAATATTTTTAATTTCTCTTCCTACTTTTAATGAATGTTTGATATTTTGAGTATAATGTTTTTGCATTCTTACTACTGTAGAAGTAGCAGCTACTATCGTCCTGCAGTCTTTTCTGCTGTCTCTCCTATATTGCGAAAGCTTTGCTGTATCAAATATTAGTTTCTCGTTGTTGCCTTAGTTTAGTTGTGGTGAAGGCATGCACATCCCATTAGAACTTCTATGTTGTGTTTTCTTTCTCCTATTTTAGTTTATTTCTCATAATGTCTTCACACATTTCATCCTTGTGATGATTGTGTTTAAAGCAAATTCATATTTTGATTTTCCAGAATTATGTTCTCCTGATATTATTTATCAAAGTAATTGGTGCTACAAATTATTTCTTTATCAATAATGTTCCTTACTACTATTGCCAAACTGTGTCTAATAAAACATATTTCTTCATGGAACAGTTTATCGAATTTAGGTACCATTATTATGTCTCATTCATATTCGTTTCTCCTTCACGATATCATTTTTACAAATTAATTTTTATATACTACATGAGAAGTATATAAACATTATGAAATTCATTGCATATCAAAACCGTGAAAGTGTTGAAAAAGTTGATATGTGTATCAATACTCTTTCCAATCAACTAACTCTAAATGTTTTTTCACTGTTTTTAACTCACACAATCGTTGCTGCGTGTGCTGGAAACAGTCAAAGTAAAAATTACCAAATTTAGTTACCCTAATATTGCTCGGTTATAATTCTGCTCTGTGTGGCACCTTTTTTTTGTGTATTTTAAAATAAATTACCATAATATATTATGGTTGTAATTAGTTAGTTACTACAAATGTAAATAATAACTTAACATTTTCTATTAAGCTATGTATGTTGTATGCATTGTGTTCTATGTTCTTTATTAATGCTTTGATCTCCTGTATATATATTTATATACACTTGTATAATATCGCAAATTAATTAAAGACATTGATTAAATCTGTCTCCTGCTTCAAGTTTATATCTCGTAAATTTTAGCTGGAATAACTCAAATTCTTCTATCAGGGTCTGATGTTTGGATATGCAACAGATGAAACAGACGAATGTATGCCATTAACTGTTGTGTTGGCACATAAATTGAATCAGAAGATCGGAGAATTAAGGCGAAGCGGTGAATTGTGGTGGGCAAGACCAGATTCAAAAACACAGGTTTGTTAAATATATTCATTGAAATGTTCTATATCTAAACTAACATAGAATTATTCGATGATGTTATTTTTAGTATTTGCTACTCTTGAGTGCCATGATGTGAACAAAATTTGCTGAGAATATATTTTACCATAATACTATCGATTGTTTAATCATAAAACAAGAACTATTTTTAATGCAATAAAAATTTATAAAATAGGTTACTTGCGAGTATCTTATGGATCATGGTGCTTGTGTACCTATAAGAGTTCACACAGTGGTTGTGTCGTTACAACACAGTGAAAAAATTGGTTTGGAGGAGTTACGCAAAGCAGTTATGGAAAATGTCATTAAAGAAGTAATCCCGGCAAGGTACCTAGATGACAGAACGATCTTCCATGTTAATCCTTGCGGGCTGTTCATTATTGGTGGGCCACAGGTAAGATGAAAATTCGTCATATTACATTTAACTCGTCACTTTAACCGGCTGTATCACTGCCAAAATTTGGTAATTTTATTATTGTTACGTCCGGTTAATCGTAAGCCAGCCATTATACATCGTGCTTTTAAACATATCTGTCATCATTTTTTAACAACACATTCAATTCTATTTTATTTATTTCTAACGATTTTCTGTGAAATATAAAGTTAATATAAAAGAAACTATAAATACTATAATTCAACTATAAATCAAACAAATTAAAAACAAGAACATACATTACAAGTACGATACATCTTTTTCTACTTATAGAGTGACGCTGGTCTTACTGGACGTAAAATAATAGTAGACACTTATGGTGGTTGGGGAGCTCATGGCGGTGGTGCATTTTCTGGAAAAGATTTCACAAAGGTTGATCGATCTGCTGCTTATGCAGCAAGATGGGTTGCTAAATCTTTGGTAAAGGCTGGTATATGCAGACGGTGTCTTGTACAGGTATAAATCACCGATATTGTAACTATTATTACTAATTTAAAATAAACAGTAACACAATTCTTTTATTGTGTTCTATTAAAATATTTCATAATAATTATAAAAGGATACATATTTTATCAAATCTTTAGGTTTCATATGCTATTGGAGTAGCAGAACCTCTTTCAATCACAGTTTTTGACTATGGCACATCTAAATTGTCTCAAAATGAACTTTTAGATATAGTCAACAAAAACTTCGATTTACGGCCTGGAAAAATCGTCAAGTAAGTAAAACGTTTTTATTATATTTCAAAAATTCGTAGTTTACAATTATCCAATGATGTTATATAGTATTTGCTACTCTTGAATGCCATGATGTAAAAATACGTTCACTGAGGATGATTGCAATAATATGTATTTCATAATATTGTTTATACCGAGGATTGTTTTTGAAGATAGCAATTATATGATTGTTCCAGAGAGTTGAATCTCCGTAATCCCATTTACCAACAAACCAGTACATATGGACACTTCGGCCGAGAAGGGTTCACTTGGGAGCAGCCAAAAACACTAATTCTCGATTGATGAGAACATGGATTTTAAATCAATTTGACGTTTCTTACCTAAGAACGTCTACCAACTCGCTCTAAATATGCGTGTATATCTCGTAAACGTTTTCCGAGATTTTTCGACCTCCGCGCTACATTCGCCAAGAGTCCATCAATTCCTTTTGCCAACTTAGTACTACCAGGAAGAATGACACGTTAGTTTTTTTTTTCCACACCACAAGATACTTGGTACTGTGTGTGGTATAGTACAAATTTTGTTAATCCAGCATGCAGACGATAACAGTCATCTTTCCTTTATTCTTTGGAAAACGAATCCAAGTTTATCCATCATAGGAAGTCATGAAACTATTGACAAAGGGAAAGGTGAATGAAGCCTATTGTGAGTCTGTTGCCTACTCGTGCATCGGTTATAATAGCGGAAGGTACTTTATTTACCAATGGGCACGACTCATTTCTATGGCTCGTGAGTGGTGTGTGTTGGAAATAAATAGAATAAAAGAACAATAATACTTTTAACGAAAGGTGTTCAACATTTGAAAAATGTGTAAATTGGTAACATCGGGCCGTACCTTTAAATGAAACTTTGAGATGAAAATGTTCTCTCAGATTTTTAGCGGTATTAGTATTTTGCGAACGTACATGAAATTTCGACGTTCGTTCATTTTGCTTTCGAAGTATACATGTAACATTTTAAACAGTTTGCGTTTACTTTTACCAGTAATTTCAGTCAATAATAATCGAGCTTTCATGTATGTTTTATCGTTAGAATTATTAACAGTTCGAGTGCAAATGTAAACTGATAACGATTATGTACATTAATTGTAGCAAAATGGGAAAGCAAATCAATCTAAATGACAAATACAGGCAGTCTTAATTTTCATATTGTTTAAAATCTGTACGATACAAAGCAGTATAATATTGGCCAGGAGTTAATGCTATCGCATTCATTTAAATTTGCTTAATTATAATTTATGACAAAATTTCTTAATTATGTTCAAATTTAAATAACAGCGATACTACTAACTCTCATATATTTATATATGTATTTCTCTCCTTGCTCCATTTTAATAGATAATTGTAATAGACATTGTCGATCTTGCAATGTATAGCAAATAATGCAACATCGAAAATGTATGACCTTTATTTTATAGAGGTCTCGTAAAGATCGTGTGGCGGAGCTCGACAATTATACGACTTTTTCAAAGTGTAGTGTGAAAATTTGTGACTATCATGTTTTAAACATCAACAAAAAATGTAAATGAAATTTAGTAATTTCCTTCTGTTAGATTAATGTAACGATTTATTGTGTAACGGTATTGGCAATGTAAAGATAAATAAGATCATCATATGCAAGTCATAATAAAAAGGATTTTTTAATAAATTGTTTTTCATTTTATTCATTTTGTTCCAAGTTATTTATCGATTGCCAACAAATCCTTATTGTTCCTGAAAATGGTATTTCATTTGTACATAAATAGACGATATTATATTAAGTTGAGACACAAAATTAAGAGCTCTGTTACACTGTGAACTATGCTGTAATGGAACTATTCAAGTAACTTTTATACGCTTTATCATGACATTATGTTCCTTCTAGATAGCTAAATGAAACGTTTTATGTAAACAATTTGACTTCTTTTATATGTGTAATTTACACATTATTTTATGTTTTATTATATTAAAATTGACATATATGATTTGTAATATTTAGCAAATTGAATTGATTTAGAATGAAAGTAAAAATGTGGTGTAGGTATAGTAAAAGTTTTTGGGCGCATAACAATTTTAACGAAATAATGTACTATCTTTCTACTATATCTGTCTACTTGGGGAATACATTAAATAGTGTATTTAGATAAATTCTGAGTAAGATGCTAATCATCATCTATTAACATTATAATACACTGCCTAAACAGCAGAAACAATTATTCCAACGAAGTAACGTAATATAGAAAATAAAGCAATACGCTACGTTGTAAAAACCTAATTCTTTATTTTTAATGATAGTAATAATAAGAAAAATGTCATCTTAAATTTTATTGAGCAATCGTATAAACATCATGCATGGTTTTACCTAATAAATTATTTTTCTGACGCAAGCTAATTCCCTGAGTTACTTTCTTTAGTCATCTAAGACAATTTAAAGTAGCTGCTTCATATATATATAAAGAGCACGCGCTTGTGCTCCATCACTTTAATTAGCACAGGAAACGTAGGAGGGGCCAGTCTTTACTTCAATCATATAAATGACTTCAATAAACTCTACTATAGAATTTAGTAGATGAGACAAAGTTTGAGGCGCCTCGTACCAATGGCAGCGGAACTACTTACAAAGCAGCGGCTACTTCAAAATACTTTAAATGACTAAAAGAAAGAATAGAACAGTTTGATAGATTTCTGTCATTTCAAAAATCATATTTTTTGAAACAACGAAAATTTATTGAACTGCGCCTACACTTTCCTAAATAAAAATAAAATATAGTTAGGAAAAAAGACGTATAAGATATTTAAATATCATTAAAATTAAAATTTTTCATTTTGTCTTATATACCTAAGTCTTTTATAATAATAATAATAATAATAATAATAATAATAATAACATCAATATTCGTTAATACCAATTCTAAGTCTGCATACTTTCATCTACTTGTAAACGAAAATTGCAGCTATTAGCTCATATTATTTGGTATGTAATTGATAAAGTCATCTGACCCTTACTGGCGATGTGCAGTTAGCAATTCCGTACTTCAAGTAATACAGAGGCCCCAGGTCTCACCACGTGGAGGTTGCTGCATATCGAGACCCACAGAGTGACCAGGACAAAACCAGCCAGCTGATTAGCTAGCTAGCCACATCCTAGCTACCCTTCTTAATCTACATTTTGTATTGCCCCTGGCATGCACTGATAAAAATAAAAAAAAAAAAATAATGTAGTACTACATTTAGGAAGAGAAAGGGAAAGAGGGAAAATACATGTAATTAGTTTTCCGTTTGTCTGTCTTATCGTTGAATATTAATTGTTACTACCGATTTGAGCGCTCAAACTTAAATATATAACAGCTTTCATATACAACGGCTAATATGTATAATGAAAACACTATAGTGTTTCTCTTATTTCTTATTACACTTTTCTTATTAATATATCATAAATCTAATTGTATCAACACATCCAGCCTGCGATGATATTCAAGGAAATACAGGAACGTACATGTTTCCTTCTTTCTTTTTGTAATGAATGATATCACGAA